CTTCTGGAATTTATTCTACCCTCTTATTCTTCCTCTTCTTCTTCCATCTCCTCCTCCTTCTTTTTTTTACTTATTCAACGCCACCTCCTTTGCTGCAATTTATTCTTCCTTCTTATTCTTCCTCTTCTTCTTCCATCTCCTTCTCCTTCTTTGTTGTTACCTTATTCAACGCTCCTCCCTTTGCTGCAATTTTTTCTCCCTCTTATTCTTCCTCTTCTTCTCTCTCCTCCTCCTTCTTCGTTATTTCTTTTCTTTTTCTTCCTGCAATTTTTCTACCCCTTATTCTTCTTCTTCTTCCTCTCCTCCTCCTTCTTTTCCTCCTTATTCAACGCCCTCCCTTTGCTTCAATTTATTCTACCCTCTTCTTCTTCTTCTTCCATCTCCTCCCTCCTTCATTATTTGTTACCCCTTTCTTTAAAAAATGTCCACTTTTTTGCTGCAATTTTTTCTACCCTCTTATTCTTCCTCTTCTTCTTCATCTCCTCCTCCTTCTTTTGTTATTTACTTATTCCACTCCCTTTGCTGCAATTTATTCTACCCCTATTCTTACTCTTCTTCTTCCATCTCCTCCTCCTTCTTATTTTACTTATTCAACGCCACTCCCTTTGCTGCAATTTATTCTACCCTCTTATTCTTCCTCTTCTTCTTCAACTCCTCCTCCTTCTTTTGTTTCATTGCTTATTTCGCCACTCCTTTGCTGCAATTAAAAACCCTCTTATTCTTCCTCTTCTTCTTCCATCTCCTCTTCCTTCTTTTGTTGTTTTTATTCTCCCACTCCCCTTTGCTGCAATTTATTCTACCTCTTATTCTTCCTCTTCTTCTTCCATCTCCTCCTCCTTCTTTATTTATTTACTTATTCCGCCACTCCTTTGCTGCAATTTTTTACCTTCTCTTATTCTTCTTTTTCTTCTTATTTCCATCTCCTCCTCCTTCTTTCTTTTCTTTTCTTCTTCTTTCCTCCTCCTTCTTTCTGCAATTTATTCTACCCTCTTATTCTTCTCTTCTTCTTCTTCTTCTCCTCCTCCTTCTCCTTCTTATTTTACTATTATTCCCTCCCTTTGCTGCAATTTATTCTTACCCTTTTATTCTTTCTTCTTCTTCCATCTCCTCCTCCTTCTTTGTTTTTCTTATTCAACGCCACTCCCTTTTCTTCTTTTTCTTCTACCCTCTTATTCTTCTCTTCTTCTTCTCTCCTCTCCTCCTCCTTCTTTTCTTCTTTGCTTCTCCTCCTCCTTCTTGTTCTTCCTTCTCCCTCCCTTTGCTGCAATTTATTCTACCCTCTTATTCTTCCTCTTCTTCTTCCATCTCCTCCTCCTTCTTTGTTGTTACTTATTCAACACCACTCCTTTGTCTGCAATTTTATTCTACCCTCTTATTCTTCCTCTTCTTCTTCCATCTCCTCCTCCTTTTTTTTGTTACTTATTCTTTTCCCCTCCCTTTCTTCTTCAATTTATTCTACCCTCTTATTCTTCCTCTTCTTTTTCCATCTCTTTTCCTTCTTTGTTGTATTACTTATTCAACGCCATCTCCTTTGCTGCAATTTATTTTCTACTCCTCTTATTCTTCCTCTTCTTCTTCCATCTCCTCCTCCTTCTTTGTTTTTACTTATTCTTCGCCCTCCCTTTGCTGCAATTTATTCTACCCTCTTATTCTTTCTCTTCTTCTTCTCTTCTCCTTCCTTCTTTTGTTCTTACTTATTCATCGCCCTCCCCTTTGCTGTAATTTATTCTACCCTCTTATTCTTCCTCTTCTTCTTCCATCTCCTCCTCCTTCTTTGTTGTTACTTATTCAACGCCTCCCTTTGCTGCAATTTATTCTACCCTCTTATTCTTCCCTTCTTCTTCTTCCTCTTCTTCTTCATCTTTCCAATTTATTTCTTATTCTTCCTCTTCTTTTCCATCTCCTCCTCCTTCTTTGTTTTCTTAACGCCACTCCTTTGCTGCAATTTATTCTACCTCTTATTCTTCCTCTTCTTCTTCCATCTCCTCCTCCTTCTTTGTTCTTACTTATTCTTCCACTCCCTTTTCTTCAATTTATTCTATTCTCCTCTTCTTCTTCTCTTCTTCTTCCATCTCCTCCTTCTTCTTTCTTCTTCTTCTTATTCAACCCCACTCCTTTGCCCCAATTTATTTCTACCCTCTTATTCTTCCTCTTCTTCTTCATCTCCTCCTCCTTCTTTTTGTTCTTATTCACATCCACTCCCTTTGCTGCAATTTATTCTACCCTCTTTTCTTCCTCTTCTTCTTCCATCTCCTCCTCCTTCTTTGTTTATTTACTTATTCAACGCCACTCCCTTTGCTTCAATTTCTTCTTCTTCTTATTCTTCTTCTTCTTCTTCCTTTCTCCTTATTCCTCCTCCCTTTGTTCTGCCCTCTTCCTTTTTTCATCTCCTCCTTCAATTTGTTCCCTTTCCCTTTTTTTTTATTCTACCTCTTATTCTTCCTCTTCTTCTTCCATCTCCTCCTCCTTCTTTTTATTCTTTTTCTGCATTTTTTCTAACCTCTTCTTCCTTCTTCTTCTTCTCCTCCTTCCTTCTCCTTAATTTATTTCTCTTTCTTCTTCTTCTTCCATCTCCTCCTCCTTCTTTGTTTGTTACTAAAAAAATTTCCTTTTCTATTCTACCATTCTCTTCTTCTTTTCTCCTCCTCCTTCTTTTTTTTCTTATTTCCCCTTTGCTGCATTTATTCTACCCTCTTATTCTTCCTCTTCTTCTTCCATTTTCTCCTCCTTCTTTTTTGTTGTTCTCCTTCTTCTTCCCTTTCCTCAATTTTATTTCTCCCTCTTCTTCTTCCTCTTCTTCTTCTTCTTCTCCTCCTTCTTTGTTGTTACTTATTCAACGCCACTCCCCTTTGCTGCAATTTATTCTACCCTTTTTTTTTCTTCCTCTTCTTCTTCCATCTCCTCCTCCTTCTTTGTTGTTACTTATTCAACACCTTTTTCCCTTTTTGCCAATTTTTCTACCTTCTTATTCTTCCTCTTCTTCTTCTCCTCCTCCTCCTCCTTTGTTGTTACTTATTCAACGCCACCTTCTTTCTGTAATTTCTTCTTCTTTTCTTCTTCTTCTTCCATCTCCCTTCTTTGTTTGAAAAAAATTACAACCCTCTTATTTCTTCCTTCTCTTCTTCTTCCATCTCCTCCTCCTCTTTTTGTTACTTTCCTTCCTCCTTTCTGCAATTTATTCTATTCCTCTTATTTTCTTTTCTTCATCTTCTCCTCCTTCTTCTTCTCCTTATTCTTCTCCTCCTTTCTCCTTCTTCTTCTACCTTCTTATTCTTTCTCTTCTTCTTCCATCTCCTCCTCCATTCTTTGTTGTTACTTATTCAACGCCACTCCCTTTGCTGCAATTTTTTTCTTCCTCTTCCTCTTCTTTCATCTCCTCCTCCTTCCATCTTATTCACCTTCTTTTGCTTGCAATTTATTTCTTCCCTTCTTATTCTTCCTCTTCTTTCTCCTTCTCTTCCTCCTTCTTTTCTTCTTCTTCTTCTTCTTCTTCTCCTTTTGCTGCAATTTATTCCTACCCCTTATTCTTCCTCTTCTTCTTTTCTCCTCCTCCTTCTATTCGTTTTTTTCTTTCCTCTTCCTTTCCTTCAATTTTTTCCTTCTTCTTCTTCTCTTCTTCTTCATCTCCTCCTCCTTCTTTGTTGTTCTTCTTCTTCTCCTTTCCTGCAATTTATTCTCCCTCTTATTTCTTCTTCTTCTTCTTCATCTCCCCCTCCTTTTTTGTTCTTACTTATTTCATCCCCACTCTTTTTGCAGTAATTTATTCTACCCTCTTATTCTTCCTCTTCTTCTTTCCATCTCCTCCTCCTTCTTTCTTTGTTGCTTATTTCAACCCCTCTCCCTTTGCTGCAATTTATTTCTTCCTCTTATTCTTCCTCTTCTTCTTCCATCTCCTCCTCCTTCTTTTTTTCTTTACTTATTCAACCGACTCCCTTTGCTGCAATTTATTCTACCCTTTTATTCTTCTTCTTCTTCTTCCATCTCCTCCTTCTTTTTTTGTTACTTATTCAGCCCTCCTTTGCTCAATTTATTTCTACCCTTTTTTCTTCCTCTTCTTCTTCCATCTCCTCCTCCTTCTTTGTTTACTTATTCAACGCCACTCCCTTTGCTGCAATTTATTCTACCCTCTTATTCTTCCTCTTCTTCTTTCATCTCCTCCTCCTTCTTTTATTTGTTGTTATTCAACGCCAAAAAATGTCTTCTTTGCATATCCTCCTGCTTTTTGTTATTATTCAACACCAATCCTTTGCTGCAATTTGTTCTACCTCTTTTCCTCTTCTTCTCATCTTCTTCTTCTTTGTTTCTCCTTCTTTTTGATTTTTCTACCTCTTATTCTTTATTCTTCTCCTCCTCCTCCTTCTTTGTTGTTGCTTATTCTACCCTCTGATTTATTTCTTCTTCTTCTTCTTCCTCTCCTCTTCCTTCTTCCTCCTTCTTATTCAAAACCCTCCTTTTTGCAATTTCAAAATTTTTTCTTGTCTCTTAAAAATCCTCCTTCTTCTTTATTTACTTATTCGTCATCCCTTTGCTGCAATTTATTCTACCCTCTTGTTCTTTTTCTTCTTCCTCTCTTCCTCCTTCGTTGTTACTTCTTCAACGCCTCCTTTGCTGCCAATTTACCTTTCTATTCCTCTTCTTCTTCCATCTCTCTCCTCCTTCTTTGTTATTTACTTATTTCAACACCACTCCTTTGCTGCCAAATTGTTTCTACCCTCTTATTCTTCCCTCTTCTTCCATCGTCTCCTCCTTCGTTTCTTCTTATTCAACGCCACTCCCTTTGCTGCAATTTATTCTACCTCTTTTCTTCTCTTCTTCTTCCTGTCTCTTCCTCCTTCTCTTTGTTGTTTATTCCTTCCTTCAATTTTATTCTACCCTCTATTCTTCCTTCTTCTTCCATCTCCTCCTCCTTCTTTGTTATTTACTTATTCAACCTTTTCCCCTTTGCTGCAATTTATTAAACTCCTCTTATTCTCCTCCTCACTTCGTTCTTCCATCTCCTCTTGCCTCCTTCTTTTTCTTCCTTATTCTTCTCCTCCTCCTTCTTTCACTGCAATTTATTTCTCCCTCTTATTCTTCCTCTTCTTCTTCCTTCTCCTCCTCCTTCTTTGTTGTTACTTATTCAACTTCCACTCCCTTTGCATCAATTTATTTCTACCCTCTTATTCTTTCTTCTTCTTCTTCCATCTCTTCCTCCTTCTTTGTTGTTTCTTATTTTTCTTCTCCTCCTTTTGATGCAATTTATTCTTCTCCTCTTATTCTTCCTCTTCTTCTTCTTCTCCTCCTCCTTCTTTGTTATTTTCTTATTCAACGCCACTCCCTTTGCTGCCAATTTATTCTACCCTCTTATTCTTCCTCTCTTTCCTCCTCCTCCTTCTTTGTTTTATTTCATTCAGCCCACTCCCTTTTCTTCGTTTATTTTTTTGTTCCTTTTCTTCCATCTCCTCCTCTTCTTCTTTATTTATTTACTTATTCCTCCTTTTCTGCAATTTATTCCTCTCTTATTCTTCCCTTCTTCTTCTTCCATCTCCTCTCCTCCTTCTTTTTTATTTACTTATTCCAACCTTACTCCCCTTTGCTGCAATTTATTCTACCCCTCTTTTCTTCCTTTCTCTTCTTCTTCTCTCCTTTTTCCTTCTTTACCCTCTTGTTACTTATTCAACACCACTCCCTTTGCTGCAATTTATTCTACCCTCTTATTCTTCCTCTTCTTCTTCCATCTCCTCCTCCTTCTTTGTTATTTACTTATTCAAGCACCTCCCTTTGCTGCAATTTATTTCTACCCTCTTATTCTTCCTCTTCTTCTTCATCTCCTCCTCCTTCTTTTTGTTGTTACTTATTCCTCCCTCCCTTTCTGCAATTTATTCTACCCTCTTATTCTTCCTCTTCTTCTTCCATCCTCCTCCTTCATTTCTTATTCAACGCCACTCCCATCAATTTTTTCTACCCTCTTATTCTTCCTCTTCTTCTTCATCTCTCCTCCTCCTTCTTTTGCTTATTCAATTTTCCTAATTTATTTTCCCTCTTATTCTTCCTCTTCTTCTTCCATCTCCTCCTCCTTCTTTGCAATTTTTCTTTACTTATTCAACTTTTTTACTGCAACCCTCCGCTTATTCTCCTCCCTTTGCTGCAATTTTATTCAACCCCTCTTATTCTTCCTTCTTCTTCTTCTTCTCCCTCCTCCTTCTTTGTTGTTACTTATTTCAACACCACTCCTTTGCTGCAATTTATACCCTCTTGTTCTTCTTCTTCTTCTTGTCTCCTCCTCCTTCTTTTGTATTTACTTATTCTTTTCCACTCCCTTTGCTGCAATTTATTTCTCCTCTTATTCTTCCTCTTCTTCTTCCATCTCCTCCTCCTTCTTTGTTTTACTTATTCAACGCCACTCCTTTGATGCAATTTTATTCTACCTCTTATTCTTCCTCTTCTTCTTCCAACTCCTCCTCCTTCTTTGTTGTTACTTATTCAACGCCACTCCTTTTGCTGCAATTTATTCTACCCTCTTATTCTTCCTCTTCTTCTTCATCTCTTCCTCCTTCTTTATTTGTTACTTATTCAACACCACTCCCTTTGCTGCAATTTATTCTACCCTCTTATTCTTCCTCTTCTTCTTCCATCTCCTCCTCCTTCTTTGTTTTTCTTATTCAACACCCTCCCTTTGCTGCAATTTTATTCTACCCTCTTATTCTTCCTCTTCTTCTTCATCTCTTCCTCCTTCTTTGTTGTTTCAGCTTATTCCTTTCCTTTGCTGCAATTTATTCTACCCTCTTATTCTTCCATCTTCTTCTTCCATCTCCTCCTCCCTTCTTTGTTCTACCCTCTTATTCTTATTCTTCTTTTTCCCTCCCTTTGCTGCAATTTATTTCTACCCTCTTATTCTTCCTCTTTCTTCTTCTTATTCAACCTCCTTCTTTTGTTATTCCTTTCTTATTCTTTCCTCCTCCCTTTGTTTTATTCTATTCCTTTCTGCAATTTATTCTTCCTTATTCTTCCTCTTCTTCTTGTCTTCTCTCCTTCTTTTGCTTGTTACTTATTCAGCGCCACTCCCTTCTTCTTCCAATTTATTCTACCCTCTTATTCTTCTATTCTCTTCTTCTTCCATCTCCTCCTCTTCTTTATTTTTGCAATTTATTTACCTCTTATTCTTCTTTCCTCCCTTTGCTGCAATTTATTTCTCCCCTCTTATTCTTCCTCTTTTCTTCTCTTCACCCCATCCCTCCTCCTTCTTTTGTTTTACTTATTCAACGCCACTCCTTTGCTGCAATTTATCTTATTCCCTTCTACCCATTCTTCCTCTTCTTCTTCCATCTCCTCCTCCTTCTTTCCCCTTGTTTACTTATTCAACCCCACTCCCTTTGCTGCAATTTATTCTACCCTCTTATTCTTCCTCTTCTTCTTCCATCTCCTCCCCTTCTTTGTTGTTTGCTTATTAGTGTATCCTCCCTTTGCTGCAATTTATTCTAACCTCTTATTCTTCTCTTCTTCTTCCATCTCCTCCTCCTTCTTTGTTGTTATTTACTTATTTATTATACCTTTTATTCTTCTCCTTTGCTGCAATTTTATTTCTACCCTCTTATTCTTCCTATATTTCTTCTTCTTCCATCTCCTCCTCCTTCTTTGTTTTACTTATTCAACGCCCTCCCTTTGCTGCAATTTATTCTACCCTCTTATTCTTCCTCTTCTTCTTCCATCTCCTCCTCCTTCTTTGTTGACACTTATTCCTTCCCTCCTTTGCTACAATTTTATTTCTACCCTCATATTCTTCCTCTTCTTCTTCCATCTCCTCCTCTCCTTCTTTGTTGTTATTCAACACCAATCCCTTTGCTCTTCTACCCTCTTATTCTTCCTCTTCTTCTTCTCCTCCTTCTTTTTGTTGTTACTTATTCAACGCCACTTATTCATTATTCTTCCCTCTTATTTTCCTCTTCTTCCTCCCTTTGCTGTAATTTATTCTAACCTCTTATTCTTCCTCTTCTTCTTCCATCTCTTCCTCCTTCTTTATTTGTTACTTATTCAACGCCACTCCCTTTGCTGCAATTTATTCTACCCTCTTATTCTTCCTCTTCTTCTTCCATCTCCTCCTCCTTCTTTGTTGTTACTTATTCAACGCCACTCCTTTGCTGCAATTTCTTCCTCTTATTCCTCCCTTCCTTCTTTGTTCTTTATTCAACGCCCCCTTTTGCAATTTCTTCTACTTTATTCTTCTCTTCTTCTTCCTCCTTCTTTCTTTGTTACTTATTCAACGCCACTCCCTTTGCTGCAATTTATTCTACCCTCTTATTCTTCCTCTTCTTCTTCCATCTCCTCCTCCTTCTTATTTTGTTTACTTATTCAACGCCATCTCCTCCCTTTGCTGCAATTTATTCTACCTCTTATTCTTCCTCTTCTTCTTCTCTTCTTCCTCCTCCTTCTTTGTTGTTACTTATTCAACGCCACTCCCTTTGCTGCAATTTATTCTACCCTCTTATTCTTCCTCTTCTTCTTCCATCTCCTCCTCCCTTCTTTTTTCTGCCTCTTATTCTTCGCCCATCTCCTCCTCCTTCTTTGCAATTTATTTCAACACCACTCCCTTTGCTGCAATTTCTTCCTCTTCTTCCACCTTCTCCTCTTCTCCTTCTTTTGTTGTTACTTATTCCCTTCTCCCCTTTGCTGCAATTTATTTCTACCCTCTGTTCTTCTTTCTCTTCTTCCTCCTCCTTCCATCTTATTCAACGCCCTCCACCAATTATTTCTACCTGTTCTTCCTCTTCTTCTTCCATCTCCTCCTCCTTCTTTGTTGTTACTTATTCACCTTTCGCTCCTTTTCCCTCCTCTTATTCTTCCTCTTCTTCTTCCATCTCCTCCTCCTTCTTTTTTTTACTTATTCAACCCATCCTCCCTTTGCTGCAATTTATTCTACCCTCTTATTCTTCCTCTTCTTCTTCCATCCTCCTCTTCCCTTCTTTGTACTTACTTATTCATCCCTCCTCCCTTTGCTGTAATTTATTCTACCCCTCTTATTCTTCCTCTTCTTCTTCCATCTCCTCCTCCTTCTTTTGTTGTTGCTTATTCAACGCCACTCCTTTGCTGCAATTTATTCTACCCTCTTATTCTTCCTCTTCTTCTTCCATCTCCTCCACCTTCTTTTTTCTTATTTACTTCCTCCTTTGCTGCAATTTATTTCTCCTTATTCTTCCTCTTCTTCCATCTCCTCCTCCTTCTTTTGTTCTTTGACATTCTTCACTCTTTTTTCTGCAATTTATTCTATCCTCTCCCCCTTATTCTTCCTCTTCTTCTTCCATCTCCTCCTTCCTTCTTTTGTCCTTTGTTGCAATTTTATTTTCTTATTCTTTCATATTCCCTTTGCTTATTGCAATTTATTCTGCCCTCTTATTCTTCCTCTTCTTCTTCCATCTCCTCCTCCTTCTTGTTTTCTTATTCACTCCTTTGCTTTTCTTCCTCTTCTTCTTCATTTCCTCCTTCTTTGTTGTTACTTTTCAACGCCACTCCTTTTGCAATTCTACCCTCTTATTCTTCCTCTTCTTCTTCCATCTCCTCCTCCTTCTTTGTTTTTACTTATTCAACTTACTCCCTTTGCTGCAATTTATTCTACCCTCTTATTCTTCCTCTTCTTCTTCCATCTCCTCCTCCTTCTTTGTTGCTTATTCCTCCTCCTCCTCCCTTTGCTGCAATTTATTCTACCCTCTTATTCTTCCTCTTCTTCTTCCATCTCCTCCTCCTTCTTTGTTATTTTACTTATTCAACACCCTCCCTTTGCTGCAATTTATTCTACCCTCTTATTCTTCCCTTCTTCTTCCTTCTCCTCCTTCCTTTGTTGTTTACTTATTCAACGCCCTCCTTTCTGCAATTTTTAATTTATTCTTCCTCTTCTTCTTCACCTCCTCCTCCTTCTTTGTTGTTACTTATTCCGCCACTCCCTTTGCTGCAATTTTTTCTACCTTCTTCTTATCTTCTTCCTTCTTTTGTTCTTCTTCAACACCTCCTTTCTGCAATTTATTCTCCTCCTTTTATTCTTTTCTTCTTCTTATCTCCTCCTCCTTATTAGTTAACACCACTCCCTTTGCTGCAATTTATTCTACCCTCTTATTCTTCCTCTTCTTCTTCCATCTCCTCCTCCTTCTTTGTTTTTACTTATTCAACGCCACTCCCTTTGCTGCAATTTATTCTACCCTCTTATTCTTCCTCTTCTTCTTCCATCTCCTCCTCCTTCTTTGTTGTTACTTATTCAACGCCCTCCCTTTGCTGCAATTTATTCTCCCTCTTATTCTTCCTCTTCTTCTTCCATCTCCTCCTCCTTCTTTTTTTTTACTTTCAACGCCACTCCTTTGTTGCAATTTATTCTACCCTCTTATTCTTTCTTCTTCTTCATCTCCTCCTCCTTCTTTATTTTTACTTATTTCTCCTTTGCTGCAATTTATTCTACCCTCTTATTCTTTCCTTCTTCTTCCAACATCTCTTCCTCTTCTTATTTGTTCTTTTCTCCTCCTTTGCTGCAATTTATTCTACCTTTTATTCTTCCTCTTCTTCTTCCATCTCCTCCTCCTTCTTTGTTTTTCTTATTCAACGCCTCTCCCTTTGCTCCAATTTTATTCTACCCTCTTATTCTTCCTCTTCTTCTTCCATCTCCTCCTCCTTCTTTGTTTCTCTTATTCAACCATACTCCTTTGATGCAATTTATTCTACCCTCTTATTCTTCCTTCTTCTTCCATCTCCTCCTCCTTCTTTGTTATTCGCTTATTCAACGCCCTCCCTTTGCTGCAATTTATTCTACCCTCTTATTCTTCCTCTTCTTCTTCCATCTCCTCCTCCTTCTTTGTTTTCTTATTCAACGCCACTCCCTTTGCTGCAATTTATTTCTACCCTCTTATTCTTTCCTCTTCCTTCTTCCTTTATTCAACCTCCCTTTGCTGCAATTTATTCTACCCTTTATTCTTCCTTTCTTCTTCCATCTCCTCCTTCTTTTTTGTTACTTTATTCAACACCTCTCCCTTTGCTGCAATTTATTCTACCCTCTTATTCTTCCTCTTCTTCTTCCATCTCCTCCTCCTTCTTTGTTATTTACTTATTCAACCCACTCCCTTTGCTGCAATTTATTTCTACCCTCTTATTCTTCCTCTTCTTCTTCCATATCCTCCTCCTTCTTTGTTTGTTACTTATTCAACGCCACTTTCTCCTTTGCTCCTCCTCTTGTTTTATTCTAACCTCTTATTCTTCCTCTTCTCTTCCATCTCCTCCTTCTTTTGTTGTTACTTATTCAACGCCACCTCCCTTTGCTGCAATTTATTCTACCCTCTTATTCTTCCTCTTCTTCTTTCCATCTCCTCCTCCTTCTTTTTGTTACTTATTCAACCCCACTCCTTTGCTGCAATTTATTCTACCCTCTTATTCTTCCTCTTCTTCTTCCATCTCCTCCTCCTTCTTTGTTTTACTTATTCAACGCCACTCCTTTGCTGCAATTTATTCTACCTACCCTCCTATTCTTCCTCTTCTTCTTCATCTTATTCCTCCTCCTTCTTTGTTGTTACTTATTCTTCGCCTCTTCCCTTTGCTGCAATTTATTCTACCCTCTTATTCTTCCTCTTCTTTCTTCCATCTCCTCCTCCTTCTTTTTTTGTTACTTATTCAACGCCACTCCCTTTGCTGCAATTTATTCTACCCTCTTATTCTTCTCTTCTTCTTCCATCTCCTCCTCCTTCTTTGTTGTTACTTATTCAACGCCACTCCCTTTGCTGCAATTTATTTCGCCTCTTATTCTTCCTCTTCTTCTTCCATCTCCTCCTCCTTCTTTGTTGTTACTTATTCCACTCCCTTTGATGCAATTTATTCTACCCTCTTATTCTTCCTCTTCTTCTTCCATCTCCTCCTCCTTCTTTGTTGTTACTTATTCAACCTTCTCCCTTTGCTGCAATTTATTCTACCCTCTTATTCTTCCTCTTCTTCTTCCATCTCCTCTTCCTTCTTTGTTTTTACTTATTCATCGCCTCCCTTTGCTGCAATTTTTCTACCCTCTTATTCTTCCTCTTCTTCTTCCATCTCCTCCTCCTTTTGTTGTTACTTATTCAACCCCTCCTTTTGCTGCAATTTATTTCTACCCTTCTTATTCTTCCTCTTCTTCTTCCATCTCCTCCTCCTTCTTTGTTGTTACTTATTCAACGCCTCCTTTTGCTGCAATTTATTCTACCCTCTTATTCTTCCTCTTCTTCTTCATCTCCTCCTCCTTCTTTGTTGTTACTTATTCAACGCCACTCCCTTTGCTGCAATTTATTCTACCCTTTCTTATTCTTCCTCTTTTTTCTTCCATCTCCTCCTCCTTCTTTGTTGTTACTTATTCAACGCCTTCCCTTTGCTGCAATTTATTTCTACCCTTTATTCTTCTTCTTCTTTCTTCCATCTCCTCCTCCTTCTTTGTTGTTACTTATTCGCCTCTTCACCACTCCTTTGCTGCAATTTATTCTACCCTCTTATTCTTCCTCCTTCTTCCATCTCCTCCTCCTTTTTCCTTATTCCTCCCCTCCCTTTTGCCAATTTATTTGCTTTTTCTTCCTCTTCTTCTTCCATCTCCTCCTCCTTCCACTTATTCAACGCCACTCCCTTTGCTCAATTTATTCTACCCTCTTATTCTTCCTCTTCTTCTTCCATCTCCTCCTCCTTCTTTTTGTTTTATTCAACGCCACTCCCTTTGCTGCAATTTATTCTACCTCTTATTCTTCCTCTTCTTCTTCATCTCCTCCTCCTCCTTCTTTGTTTGTTACTTATTCAACGCCACTCCCTTTGCTGCAATTTATTCTAACCTCTTATTCTTCCTCTTCTTCTTCCATCTCCTCCTCCTTCTTTGTTGTTACTTATTCAACTTCCTTTTCTGCAATTTATTCTACCTCTTATTTCTTCTTCTTCCATCTCCTCCTCCTTCTTTTGTTTTTATTCATCCCACTCCCTTTGCTGCAATTTATTCTACCCTCTTATTCTTCCTCTTCTTCCATCTCTTCCTCCTTCTTTGTTGTTACTTATTCAACGCCCTCCTTTGCTGCAATTTATTCTACCCTCTTATTCTTCTCTTCTTCCCCATCTCCTCCTCCTTCTTTGTTGTTACTTATTCGCCTCCCTTTGCTGCAATTTTTTTCTACCTTTATTCTTCCTCTTCTTCTTCCATCTCCTCCTCCTTCTTTATTTGTTACTTATTCAACCCCTCCCTTTTGCTGCTAATTTATTCTACCCTCTTATTCTTCCTCTTCTTCTTCCATCTCCTCCTCCTTCTTTTTGTTACTTATTCAACCCCTCCCTTTGCTGCAATTTATTCTACCCTCTTATTCTTCCTCTTCTTCTTCCATCTCCTCCTCCTTCTTTTGTTGTTACTTATTCAACTCCCCTCCCCTTTGCTGCAATTTTATTCTACCCTCTTATTCTTCCTCTTCTTCTTCCATCTCCTCCTCCTTCTTTATTTGTTACTTATTCAACGCCTCTCCTTTTGCTGCAATTTTTTTCTATTTCTACTTCCTCTTATTCTTCCATCTTCCTCCTTCTTCCATCTCCCTCAATTTATTCTACCCTCTTATTCTTCCTTTCTTGCCATCTCCTCTTCCTTCTTTGTTCCTTATTCTTTCCTCCCTTTTGCTGCAATTTATTCTACCCTCTTATTCTTCCTCTTCTTCTTCCATCTCCTCCTTCTTCTTTGTTACTTATTCAATTCCACCTCCCTTTGCTGCAATTTATTCTACCCTCTTATTCTTCCTCTTCTTCTTCCATTCCTCCACCTTCTTTGTTGTTACTTATTCAACGCCCTCCCTTTGCTGCAATTTATTCTACCTCTTATTCTTCCTCTTCTTCTTCCATCTCCTCCTCCTTCTTTTTGTTACTTATTCAACGCCACTCCTTTGCTGCAATTTATTCTACCCTCTTATTCTTCCTCTTCTTCTTCCATCTCCTCCTCCTTTTTTGTTCTTACTTATTCAACGCCCACCCCTTTGCTGCAATTTATTCTACCCTCTTATTCTTCCTCTTCTTCTTCCATCTCCTCCTCCTTCTTTTGTTCCTAATATTTATTCAATTTATTCACCCTCCATTCTTTCTCTTCTTCTTCCCTTCCACCCTGCAATTTATTCTACCCTTTGCTGCAATTTATTCTTTCTCCTTCTCTTCTTCCATCTCCTCCTCCTTCTTTTTTTTGTTACTTATTCAACGCCACTCCCTTTGCTGCAATTTATTCTACCCTCTTATTCTTCCTCTTCTTCTTCCATCTCCTCCTCCTTCTTTGTTGTTACTTATTCAACGCCACTCCCTTTGCTGCAATTTATTCTACCCTCTTATTCTTCCTCTTCTTCTTCCATCTCCTCTTCCTTCTTTGTTCTTACTTATTCATCGCCACTCCCTTTGCTGCAATTTATTCTACCCTCTTATTCTTCCTCTTCTTCTTCCATCTCCTCCTCCTTCTTTGTTTTACTAATTGCCACCCCTTTTGGAATTTATTCTACCCTCTTATTCTTCCTCTTCTTCTTCCATCTCCTCCTCCTTCTTTGTTGTTTTATTCAACGCCACTCCTTTGCTGCAATTTATTCACCTCGCCTCTTCCCATCTCTTCCTCCTTCTTTTGTTTTATTTTATTCTCCTTTGCTGCAATTTATTCTTCCTCTTATTCTTCTTCTTCTCTTCTCCTCCTTCTTTGTTGTTACTTATTCAACGCCCTCCCTTTGCTGCAATTTATTCTACCCCTTCTTATTCTTCCTCCTCCTTCTTTGTTTCTTATTCCATCTCCTTTCCTCCTTCTCTTGTTGTTTCTTCTTCATTCCTCCACCTCCCTTTGCTATTCAACCCCTCCCTTTCTGCCTTTATTCTTCCTTCCTCTTCTTCCATCTCCTCCTCCTTCTTTATTTGTTACTTATTCAACCCCTCCCTTTGCTGCAATTTATTTTCTACCCTTTTATTCTTCCTCTTCTTCTTCCATCTCCCTCCTCCTTCTTTGTTGTTACTTATTCAACGCCCACCCTTTGCTGCAATTTATTCTACCTCTTATTCTTCCTCTTCTTCTTCTTCCATCTCCTCTTCCTTCTTTGTTCTTACTTATTCATCTCCCACTCCTTTGCTGCAATTTATTCTACCCTCTTATTCTTCCTCTTATTCTTCTTCTTCATCTCCTCCTCCTTCTTTGTTGTTACTTATTCAACGCCCTCCCTTTGCTGCAATTTATTCTACCCTCTTGTTCTTCTCTTCTTCTTCCATCCTCCTCCTTCTTTGTTCCTTATTCAACGCCACTCCTTTTGCAATTTACCTCTTATTCTTCCTCTTCTTCTTCCATCTCCTCTTCCTTCTTTGTTCAACTTATTCATCTCCCTTTGCTGCAATTTATTCTACCCTCTTATTCTTCCTCTTCTTCTTCATCTCCTCCTCCTTCTTTGTTGTTCTTATTCAGCCTTCCTCCCTTTGCTGGAATTTATTCTACCCTCTTATTCTTCCTCTTCTTCTTCCATCTCCTCCTTCTTTGTTCTTACTTATTCAACGCCACTCCTTTGCTGCAATTTATTTACCCTCTTTCTCCTCTTCTTCTTCATCTCCTCCACCTCTTATTTCTTCTCCTTCAATTATTTCTTCTTCTTCCTTATTCTTCTTCTTTGTTCTTACTTATTCATCGCCACTCCCTTTGCTGCAATTTATTCTACCTCTTATTCTTCTCTTCTTCTTCCATCTCCTCCTCCTTCTTTATTTCTTATTCAACCCTCCCTTTGCTGCAATTTATTCTACCCTCTTATTCTTCCTCTTCTTCTTCCATCTCCTCCTCCTTCTTTGTTGTTACTTATTCAACGCCACTCCCTTTGCTGCAATTTATTCTACCCTCTTATTCTTCCTCTTCTTCTTCCATCTCCTCCTCCTTCTTTGTTGTTCTTATTCCACTCCCTTTGCTGCAATTTATTCTACCCTCTTATTCTTCCTCTTTGTTCTTCCATCTCCTCCTCCTTCTTTTTACACCATTCAACGCCACTCCCTTTGCTGCAATTTATTCTACCCTCTTATTCTTCCTCTTCTTCTTCATCCTCCTCCTTCTTTGTTGTTACTTATTCAACCATACTCCTTTGCTGCAATTTATTCTACCCTCTTATTCTTCCTCTTCTTCTTCATCTCCTCCTCCTTCTTTGTTATTTATTCAACGCCCTCCCTTTGCTGCAATTTATTATTATTCTTCCTCTTCTTCCACTCTCTCCTCCTCCTTTGCTGCAATTTTCCTCCTTTTGCAATTTATTCCCTCTTATTCTTCCTCTTCTTCTTCCATCTCCTCCTCCTTCTTTGTTGTTACTTATTCAACGCCCTCCCTTTGCTGCAATTTATTCTACCTCTTATTCTTCTTCTTCTTCTTCCTCCTTCTTCCTTGTTACTTACTCGCGCCATCCCTTTACTGCAATTTATTCTACCCTCTTATTCTTTCTTCAACTTCCATCTCCTCCTCCCTTTGTTTTGCTTATTGCAATTTATTCTACCCTCTTATTCTTCCTCTTCTTCTTCCATCTCCTCCTCCTTCTTTGTTGTTACTTATTCAAACCACTCCCTTTGCTGCAATTTATTCTACCCTCTTGTTCTTCCTCTTCTTCTTCCATCTCCTCCACCTTCTTTGTTGCAATTTTACCCTCTTATTCAACCCTCTTCCTTTAAGGTAATTTATTCAATTTATTCTACCTCTTATTCTTCCTCTTCTTCTTCCATCTCCTCTTCCTTCTTTGTTCTTCTTATTCATCGCCCTCCTTTTTGCAATTTATTCTACCCTCTTATTCTTTCTCTTCTTCCATCTCCTCCTCCTTCTTATTTGTTACTTATTCAACCCCACTCCCTTTGCTGCAATTTATTCTACCCTTTTATTGTTCCTCTTCTTCTTCCATCTCCTCCACCTTCTTTATTTGTTCTTGTTCAACGCCATACTCCTTTTGCTGCAATTTATTCTACCCTCTTATTCTTCCTCTTCTTCTTCCATCTCCTCCACCTTCTTTGTTCTTACTTATTCATCGCCACTCCCTTTGCTGCAATTTATTCTACCCTCTTATTCTTCTTCTTCTTCCATCTCCTCCACCTTCTTTGTTATTTATTACCTCCTTATTCAACCCACTCCCTTTGCTGCAATTTATTCTACCCTCTTTATTCTTCCTCTTCTTCTTCCATCTCCTCCTCCTTCTTTGTTGTTACTTATTCAACGCCACTCCCTTTGCTGCAATTTATTCTACCCTCTTATTCTTCCTCTTCTTCTTCCATCTCCTCCACCTTCTTTGTTGTTACTTATTCAACCATACTCCCTTTGCTGCAATTTATTCTACCCTCTTATTCTTCCTCTTCTTCTTCCATCTCCTCCTCCTTCTTTGTTCTTACTTATTCAACCCCACTCCCTTTGCTGCAATTTATTCTACCCTCTTATTCTTCCTCTTCTTCTTCCATCTCCTCCACCTTCTTTGTTTTGTTATTCTTTCTCTTCTTCCATTCAACCCCACTCCCTTTGCTGCAATTTATTTCTACCCTTTTATTCTTCCTCTTCTTCCATCTCCTACCTTCTTTGTTGTTCTTATTCTTCCTTTCTGCAATTTATTATTCCCTCTTATTCTTCCCTTCTTCTTCCATCTCCTCCTCCTTCTTATTCAACCCCTCCCCTTTTGCAATTTATTTATTCTTCCTCTTCTTCTTCCATCTTCTTCTTTGTTGTTACTTATTCAACCACTCCCTTTGCTGCAATTTATTCTACCCTCTTATTCTTCCTCTTCTTCTTCCATCTCCTCCACCTTCTTTGTTGTTACTTATTCAACCCATACTCCCTTTGCTGCAATT